GAATTTGATTACATAAAAATTCATTCTCAAACACCTTAAGCAGGATTTATTCACCTAAACACATTTTTTTAGTAGAATGTTGAATGGCGGAAGGAGGGTGGTGGGAGAAGGGGACAAAAGGTCCTTGGTTAGCATAGATTAACATAGGGGTTACCCACGCCCCAAGTGGATCAAATCTCCTTCCTGAATATAAAGACTCTGGATGTGAGGCTCTTGTCATATTAGTAGGGAGGTGAATTAAGGAAATGAAAATAGTTGTTTTTAATCGTGCAATCCAAGTATAACCCAAAATTAAGAGAGAAAAATATATGTTTTCAACAAATTACTAATTCATTAAATTATATTTCTTTTCTCTCAAATTACAAACCGTCAATATTTGTAAAAGAAAAAAGCATTATGCAATCGAAATAATATTAAACTGCATAAAACCGAACATTAAATGAGATTGGACACCTTAGGTCCACTCCAATGGTTCCTTGGTAAAAAAGTATATGTGAGTACTTGTTATACAATATCTATCTCGACAAAAAAAAAAAATTAGTGGGGGTGGCCGGGTGGGTGACGGATGCTGTACATTAATGTACATGGATGATCTTCCTTTTGATCAAATCACTTGCTTTCCTCCTCCTTAACAACCTGTCCGACCTGCACTGTCCGAACCTTGAATCGCTCAAGCCTGGGCGTTGACGCCTCTCCCTCCCCTCGAAAGCCACGCCGTGGTGAGGCCAAACCACCATCCCAACCCTTTATCATGGCAATTCTGACATTACTCATCCGATTCAAATCATGTCCTTGGCCATTTCTCACATTTCTAACCCGTTTTGAGAAGGACTCAGAACTTGTAAGGTGACCCCGCATCAGGGTCGATGGCTGTAGGAACCTTGACTGGTGATCTTTCATGGTTGTTTTAACTTTGATTGCTAATTTGTGCTGCGGATGGAAGTTTTGAAAAGATGACACAAATTATGTCGAAACTAGAAAGAGCTGATGAGTTTTTAGCACTCAAGAACACAGAGTTACAAGCCTATGGAACAGATCCTTTTCAAGTAATTAAGGTTTGTAGAGAGCTGAGCTTTGATTGCGAGAAAGATGAGAAGAACGAAAATATATGGATTCTGAGCCGTGGAGACGAGACAGGATGATATATATAGATGCAGCCAGTAGGAGGTTGGTCAAATATGGATCTTTGACAATTGCGAGAAAATTTCCACCATGGAATAAGTTTACGGGGATTTTTATTCACTCGCTTTAATATTTATAATAAAGTTGACTGTTTCTCTGTCTTTATACTTTCATCCACCGCCGTTCAAATCTTTTAAAATCAAGATATAGAATTTGAATGTTTTATTGGATTACAGCCTAAAAGTAAAGAAAAAGAAGATGCTTCACGCTGATGATGGTGATTGTTTTGTTACGGGTACATGAATATTATAATTGTATTTGATCCTCCTAATTTTATTAATTTATAATTAACTAAAATATTTAAAAATATTAATTTATAAAATCATAAATATTAATTATTTTATTATCCATCTGCTAAATAAACTAAAGCTAACAACCAAAATAGACGTATAAAAAAAGGTATTTGACAAAACTTTAAAAATATTTATTTTAAGAATGCTATTTTTTTTTACCAATTTTAAATTTTGTTGAATAAAAACACTTAAAATTATTATTTTAAGTTGGTTTCAAATAAATTTTAAAAAAACTATACATCTAAATTTTTTTTAAAACTTATTTAAAATTAATTTTTAAGTTTTTTTTTATAAAAAAATTTTAATTTATAAAAAAATGATATTTTTAAAATAATTACTTTCCAAGTTTTCTCAAATACCTCCATAATCATAATATTTTTCTATACCCTTAACAGTTAACACCCATTTGTGTATAATTAACCATGCCCCTGGGTAATGACTCAACTATATTTTCTTCTTATTATACTATGTTTCTGTGTAACACGACATGATAGTTATATATATCATCTTCCATTGTTTCACTACTCACGGGTTTTCTCGGCACAAAAAGGAAGTCAATAATAGTTTGCCTCAAAGAATTTCCAATGCTTTCTGTTTATAATTTCCTAGCAAGTTCCGAACATTATTAAGCTTTATCAAAGTTTGATGATAGTGAATATATTTCCTACATTTCCCATTTACGGATTTCATGCGGACTACTTTTATTTATTTATTTATTTTGAACAAAGTGAATTTTGGGAAAGAGAGGAAATATTGTAAATGTCTCCACAAAGACTTGAATCTTAGCATGGACTAAGATTTTTGCTGCATATTGCCAACCTAATTGGCGTTGCTAATGCAATTTCGTGTAAACTGATTCAACTGAAAATCGCATCTTAGAGACTCCGACTTAATGGAATCCTCTTTTTTTTTTTTTTTTTACTAATTCTCAATATTTAAAAATCACATTAAATTTTGACTAATTTAAAATCAAGTAACATTAGATTTTATAACGAAAAACTCTTTTAATATTTATTTTTTTATTCAAAGGATTGAACTTAAAATATTATTTAAGATAAGAAACTAAACTCTTTCCATTTAAATCAATATGTTGTTGATTAATGAAATTCTCACTTTTGCAAGCAATTTCATTTTCCCTTCATTTCAAAACAGGAAAAAAAAAGGGGGGGAAAGTCTGCAAGCAGTTTGATATAGGCGTAGGTAAATCTAATATAATATTTAGTCAACATATATTTAGTTATTTGAAATAAATTTACTTATACAATACTTTTTTATATTAAAATCTTAAAATAACTCCGCGACATCAAACCAATGAGTATATACTGATTCACTCGTATTTTAAGTGAAAATAAATAAATATGGTGTATGAGAGTATATCTATGTAAAACAGTGAAACATTTGCCTTAGGAATTACATACTATATATCCATAGCACATATGCATCGTGTGTATCAACATTTTTTTTTAATATTTACAATTGAAGTATTTTCATATTAGATTTTGCATACTTTAATATTAATTTCTTATTAGACAATTTTAAATGCACACTTTTCACACCAGTTTGATGCATTCTAAAAAATTAATTTATTTATATACAAACTCTAAAACTTTAACTATAAACCTATTTTACAAAATAATATTTACTTATCAGTGCACATCCTAACTCCTAAGATTATATATCAACTAATTTTTTTTTTTTCGATTAGCAAATATATCAACTAATAGTAAGCGATCAGTATGATCGGCAGTCTGAAGCTGCTGCAATATTGAACACATGTCTTAAATTTTATAATTTTTGTTTTCTTTTGATCAACAAATTGAATCCTTCTCTTCTTCCTAGATGTATATAATGTCGTGAAGGATTTTAAGTTTAAGGCTCAATTAACGGCACTTTGGTTAACTTTGGTGGAAACCATAAACAAATATGCATCTTCGTCTCGCATTTGTTCCTTTTCAAACGATGGCTGCTTGCCCTCCAATCTATGAGAACATTCAACTGACCAATTTTAAGGATGATTTATTCTGCAACATCCACCAAAGAATTTTTCAAACAAGAAGTAAAAAGTGAAAAAACCTATAATTGAACGTAGTTAAACTTATTGATTAATAATATTGTTTTTTTATGGGAAATAAAAATTATTATTATTGCAAATAAAAAATGAGATTACATTAAAATTTCTATAGTATGACCCTATAATCTAAAATGGAAGTATATCCTATAGCACAATTACGGATTTAAATTATATCAATATAAAACTTGAATAATTAAATAAAGAGAATTATCTATATTTAAAAATTACTTTAACAATCACTATATGAATATAATAAAGTTACATATGTAAAAATATATATATATATACTATAAATATTTTAACATTTACATCTATTAAATCAACTTCTTGAAAAGAGTAAATAATTAGACTAACAGTCATTTCTATTCACTAATAACTCTTCCAAATTATAGCCGGGGAAAAAGGTAGCCCCACCTTCCCAATCATACACAATTAATGGAGTTAGACCAAGAATAATCCAAATCTCCATCGCCAAAAGCAACACCTTCACCTTCAAATCCGGAAGGCCCAACACCAACTTTCGACTTCTCTTTCATCACAAGCCTTCCTGCTATCTTAATAGAGCACTTCGACACCCTGCGACCAACATTGCCAGCCTTGACAGTTCACATCACCATCCCACCGTCATCTCCAATCCCTGCTATCTTAATAATATTGTTTATTAGTCAATAACTTAAGTAATTCAAAATTACATATCAAATTCGAATTAATAAAAGAATTTGAAAGATCAAAAGAATTCATTGAAGCAAGCAGGGACGGAGTTACTGTAGGACATTGGGGCAGCTGCCCCTCCTAAGCTTTTGAAAAATGTTAAACATGGTACGTCAATTTTTATTTTCTACAAAATTTTATATTTGCAGTTAATTTGAATTATAGGGACCATTTATATATAAAAAAATATTTAAGACCTAGGAAAAGGAATCATT